AACTTTATAATAAGTACCTGGTGCAATAATTTTCCAGCTCAGTTTCCCTTCTATAAGGTTGCCAATTTGTGTTTTCATATAAATTTTTAAAGTAGCTTGTCATTTTCCACAGATTATTCAGCTGAAATACTCAACTTGGAGTATATTGAATATATATACATTAGGTTTGGAAGAATTGACATCCAGACAGGATTGATCCTAAAAACCATTAATAAATCCATTCATTTGCATTTTAAAAAAAAGATCACTTGGTCTTTTCTCTTAGAAGGTTCTCCTGAGACTGGGCAGGATACACAGGTGCTTCTGTGACACCCAGTATAATTCTACAATTACAATGATCTGAGAAGAGGTCCTTGAAGAGCATGCTTATTCCCATGTTCAGCCTGTGTTTCCTTGCTATTCCAAATCAAGTTACCTTTTGACAAATCTGCTTTGTCCCCTCTTGACATCATATGTGATGCAGAATTTCCATGTGACTATTTTCCCTATTTGATGATGATTTTAGAATAGTCAGTTTTTCAATGGAGGGGAGAATCAATATTTCCTTTGATGGAACACAGAAGAGAATTTATTTAGTAGCAAATTCAATTGCTTTCCATGAAGTTAGCTTTTGTACACTTGCCAAAATTGCTGTCAGTATGAGAAGAATAGGTATTGAGCACTTAAAACGTGGTAGTATGTTTTACCATGCTATCTCCTTCATTTTCTCAGCAAAATGTTTTCTTCTGTTCTTGATAAAATATAATATACACATGCAATTATATCTTGAGGAATTCTTACAACCTGAAACACATATACCTCATGACTGGTATACAGAAAAAGAATATTCACAGCACTTCACAAGACCCCTCTGCATATGCTTCCTTCCATTTTCCATTCTCTCCCCTTTAGGGGGAACATTCTCCTGTTGCTAATAGCTTAGATTAGTATAATCCATTTTTGTATTTTTTTATAAATTCAAACATGACACACTATTTTGTGTCTGGTTTTTAAATTAAACATCTATGTTGTACACACAGCTGTGGATTGTTTATTCTTTGTTATATAGAATTTCATTGTGGGAAGGGACCAAATTTTATGCACCCAATCTAACTATATTAGACATTTGGGTATTTTCCAGTTTTTTATTACTAATATATTACAATTGTGTTGCAGTAAGCATTCTTGTTGATATGTTCTGGTAAAAATATGTACATATTTTTGTTAGGATTGGGACTGATGGTAATACACATATTCATCATTACCAGATAAGCCCAAAATAGTTCAAATCTACATTCCTACCAGCCATTGTTTCATATTTTCACCAATACTTGGTATTTTTAGTGTTTTTCATTGTAATTTTTAGTTTGATATATATTGCTATGTCATGAGAAATTAAATTTCCATTTATTTCCCTAATAACTATAAAAGTTGGTTTCTACTTACATGTTTATTGGTATTTTTTGTTCCTCTTTTATGAAATGTATACATAACCTGTTCCTCTCCATTACTTTATTGTTTTTGTAGGAGTATTTCATGTATTTCAATTATGAAATTTTTGTTGACTATATGGATTGCAAATATCCCCTGTTCATCTGTGGCTTGGCTTTTCACAATTTTAGCAGTGTCTTTCAAATAAAACTCTTAATGGTAATTTAATTTAATCAATATTTTTTTATGACTGGCAATTTTTGTGTCCTGTTTTCAAATCTTAGCCTACTCCAAATACCAAAGGAGAAGTGTGTTTTGAATTTCTCATTTAGCTTTAATATTTTTCTGAGATTGTTTTTGTGTATGACATGATTTAGGGAACAAGGTGTGTTTCTTTTTCTTCACACATATATCCATTGATTCAGTAATATTTATTGAAAATACCGGCTTTTTTTGAAAGTCGCTTGAATTATTTATTTTTACTGTGTTTAGTTGTGTTATCATTGTGATACACAGTTTCATATTCTGTTTGTATTCAATTTTTATGGTTTGCTTTTTTTTTGGGGGGGGGGGCTCAATTAGAGTAAGCTCAAGACCCAACTTGAGGCTTGAACTCATAATCCTGAGATCAAGAGTCACAAAGTCTACCACCTAAGCTATCCCAGACCCCTTTAAAAATGTCTTTTATTCATAATCTGTTCCCTTTATCAGAAATTAGATGGCTTAAATTTGTGTTTCAGTATTTGCTTTATGAACTGTATTTCTTACAATAGTATTTTTATCTGTATTTAAAAGGATAGGTAATCTGATTTTTAAGGAAGTTACATAAATTGTCCACATGTATACCTTTAGGAATTGGAAAGATGGGGTTAAAATCCATATAACTCACCAAGACACAGTTGTCCTGATCTGATCTTAGGGACATTGAAAGAGCAAAAACACCTCAAAGAGATTTATAAATGAATTATAAAAATTAGCTCTGAAGCCAAGGTACTCTTTCTAATACATTGGTGAAATTTCTATTGTATTAGTTGACAATTTTCCTTTTTAAAAACATATTTTATTTAAATTCAATTTGCCAACACAGAGTATAACACCCAGTGCTTATCTCAAGTGCCCTCCTTAGTGCATGTCACCCAGTTACTCCATCCTGCCACCCACCTCCCCTTCTACAGCCCTTTGTTTGTTTCCCAGAGTCAGGAGTCTCTCATGGTTTGTCTTCCTCTCTAATTTTTCCCCACTCACTTTCCCTCCTTTCCCTTATAGTCCCTTTAGTTGATAATTTTCTATGGAAAATAATACCCACCTTTTCCTATTTCTGGTCATTGTAGTGTTACTAGGAAGGTGGTTAATGGAAACCAATGAGGTTGTTTGGGAAACATGACCAGAGTTCCTTTCCTTTCAGGATGAAGAAATCTTTCATAAATTATTTGTTTCTGAAGCCCGCTAACTAAATGATTATTTACCATTCTAATCAGTTTCCATCTCCCTTAATTCTTACTTTGCTTACTTTTGAGCAGAGATGATAATATCTCAAAGTTTTCCACATCTTTTTTCTGCCCTCTCTGCTGGGTGCTGGGGAATATTCCCACTGAGGAGCAGAAGGAGGATTCTGACTTTTTCACTGCTTACTAAGTCTTCCAAACATCACAGAGTTCACTCCTGACCCTCTGGATTCTTGTGAATTCTTTATTATTTACTTTCCATTACCAAGGAATTTTCTAGTATCTGATAACTACAAGATTCTTGATGATCTAGCCCCTGGTCAGTTCATACTTACTATTTATTCCCTTAATACTGATGAATTCTCATGGACTTAATTGATTTAATTTTTGTTTGTTTCCTTGTTTTTGTTTTTGCTTTGATTTATATACTTTTATATATTGACTTTTTCCTCTGGAATTCCTTTTACAACTGTATCACCCTTACACCTTATCTTACTTCAAAATAGACATCAGACACCTTCTCTTCAACATGGTCCTTCTTTTGACAATGACCAGTGCTTCAAAAATGCACACCCACTCTACTAATGTAGTCTTTATTTTGGGCCTTGCACATACTCTTATTTTAGTTTTTTTTTATATTTCCTGTGATTGTTTGTGTGCCTTTTGGTCTCTCCATTAAACTCCGAATTCTTTAAAGTATGAAACTGTGTATGGTTCCTTACATGATCACATTGTAAGTGCTCATTGAATATTTATGAGAAAGGAAAAGATTAATGAAAGAACAAGATGTCATTTATTCACCTTCAATATTTAGTTAATTTGAAAATGAAGTTTAGATGTTAATACAGAATTTCAGATTAATTAATTTTTCTCTTGGATGAGAAATGAATTTGATGCGTGGCTAGAAGTATTAAAATTTCACTTATATTGGCTAGTTTCATTGCTAAAGTTACGAAAAAATGTAAAGCAAATCAGAAAGAACAGATGGGTACAATCTACCAGCGATGGATTCAGCATCCTAAGCAACATTAGCTGTCCTTTAGGTACAACTAGAAGTTTATTCTGAATGTAAATTCAAAGCATTCCTATAAATGAATATAGCCAAGTATGGGACAAAAATGAAATGTCTTAAAAGTGAGAAGAGTGAATTAAAAATTTTACTGAATTGGGAGACTCCAAGTTCCATTGAGGATTAATATTTTAATATTTACAAATGCTGGGGATCCCTGGGTGGCTCAGCGGTTTGGTGCCTGCCTTTGGCCCCGGGCGCGATTCTGGAGTCCCTAGATCGAGCCCCACATCGGGCACCTGGCATGGGGTCTGCTTCTCCCGCTGCCTGTGTCTCTGCCTCTCTCTCTCTGTCTATAATAAATAAATAAATAAATAAATAAATAAATAAATAAATAAATAAATAAATAAATAAATATTTAAGAAATATATTTACAAATGCTTCAAACAGTACCTTAGTAATCAAAAACAATTATTGGCTAATTAACAGTATGAAAAAAAATAATCATATCTGTTGGTTCATTGGTGATGTAAACAGAGAATTCTTTTTAGATCACATCAATAGAGATACGCATATAGTTATAAATTGGTAAGTAGAGTATTTTAAAATAATCCCTAGAAGTCCTAACAGAGTTATACTTGATTATAAAACTTTGACAATGGGAATATTTATTTTTTAAAGATTTTATTTATTTATTCATGAGAGACACACAGAGAGAGAGAGGTAGAGACACAGGCAGAGGTAGAAGCAGGCTCCAAGTAGAGAGCTGGACATGGGACTCGATCACGGGTCTCCAGGATCAGGCCCTGGGCTGAAGGCAGCGCTACACCTCTGAGGCACCTGGGCTGCCTGACAATGGAATCTTTTTTTAAAAAAAAATGTAGGATCAGTCTGTGATGAGAACTTGGATTGTTTAACAAGAATTTGTTAGATGAACATATACCTTAATTAATAAACAACAAATAGACAAAAAAAAAACCCTACTCTGTAGACCTCAGAAAATTTGGCTGATCATTAAAATGCATCATGGAATTTTAAAATGTGGGTATGAGAGGGAGACAGTATCCATAAATTATATTTTTCTTTTCTTTTTCTTATTCTAGGAAAACACACATGAATTTTAGGCCTAATTAATCATGACAATATTGAATAAAACAAACTGGACCCTGGTCTCATTCATTCTTAATGGAGTCCCAGGACTGGAAGATATACACATGTGGATTTCCTTCCCATTCTTCTCCATGTATATTGTGGCCATGGTAGGGAATTGTGGGCTGTTATACCTCATCTACTATGAGGATTCATTGCACAGACCTATGTATTACTTTTTAGCCATGCTTTCTCTTACTGATATTGTCATGTGCTCTAGTACAATTCCTAAAGCTCTCTGTATCTTCTGGTTTCATCTCAAGGACATTGGCTTTAATGAATGTTTGCTCCAGATGTTCTTCATCCATACCTTCACAGGGATGGAGTCTGGAGTGCTTATGCTCATGGCTCTGGACCGCTATGTGGCCATCTGCTACCCTCTGCGGTACTCAACTATCCTCACCAATCCTGTCATTGCAAAGGCTGGGCTTGTTACTTTCCTGAGAGGGGTGTTGCTCATCATTCCCTTTACTTTCCTCACGAAGCGCCTGTCCTACTGCAGAGGCAATATAATTCCCCACACCTACTGTGACCACATGTCTGTAGCCAAATTGTCCTGTGGCAATGTCAAGGTCAATGCCATCTATGGTCTGATGGTTGCCCTCCTAATTGGTGGCTTTGACATCCTGTGCATCACAATCTCCTACACCATGATCCTCCGGGCAGTGGTCAGCCTCTCTTCAGCAGATGCTCGACAGAAGGCCTTCAGCACCTGCACTGCTCACATCTGTGCCATTGTTTTCTCTTACAGTCCAGCCTTCTTCTCTTTCTTTTCCCACCGTTTTGGGGGGCACACAATCCCTCCCTCTTGCCACATCATTGTGGCCAATATTTATCTGCTCCTGCCTCCCACTATGAACCCTATTGTTTACGGGGTGAAAACCAAGCAGATACGAGACCGTGTCATAAGGATCCTTTCAGGGTCTAAGGACATCAAATCTCATGGCATATAGAAGAGACTTAAAAAAAAGACAATTTCATGACAGAGTGGAGCTCCTATTTAGTCAGGAGCTAAAAAATATTTTGAGAAGTACTATTTTGGTCATGGAGTTGGAGCATATTGATTGATGCATTTCTACATACATATCCTGAAAATCTTAAATGGACTGCCAAAGAATCTTTCTATGAAATATTTTTTCCTTCTCAGCTTTGTGGGAAAGAATACATATCCTTGAACAAACACTAATTACCCCATTTTCATTAAAAAATAAAATGAAAGTAGGTGATCCTGTTTCCAAACAAATTACAATTTCTATATTTAAAGCCAGTTGTTTTCTTCCCCTGGAAAATATATGGCATATACTTTTAATCACTGCTAAAATATTTTTAATGACTCCTCCCTGAAAGAGAAGCTATAAAGTATCCTATGCATGAAGTCATTAATGTAATGAATTTTAAGTCTCTGGGTGTCTGAGAGAATCTGGCTGAATAGGTCTCTCCTAGCAATGACACACACATTTTTCTACTATGCAGACTGATCTGCTATCCAGTTTTCTTCAAGAGGATCTTTGAAAGAACACAGTCTGGAGGTTGAGGTAGATAGATGTCTTAACGAATGTAACAAACAATATAATGTCTTGTAAGCAGCATGAGAAGGGGTCAAAATCAACTGCTTCCTCTTATCTGCAATTGTGAACATAATAAATAAAATCAAATATCTCGTTCTAATATTTAAGATTCTTTTAAATTAATGAACAAATGGAAGACTGAAGGAAATAGTACTTTTATATTAATGTTTCATGATCTAAGCCAATTTTGTAAGAAATATATAATAAACTGAATCATTATTCTTATATCTCTCTGTCTAGCTTAAAAGAATACATGTTATTTTTGCCCAGTTTAGTTAACTATACCAATGAAATTGCATTTAATTATTTAATTAGTCCTTCTTTACAATCTCAAATTTTGGAATCTTACAGAATACCAACAGATATAACCACTTTCCACTTTTTACCCTGTTTCTCTGCTTTACTCTGATATCAAAACTTCTAGAACAAGTGTTGTTTCAATTGTATTTTATACATACAGGGCAAGCAGAGACTGAAGAGAGAGGCAGACCACTCCAGATTGGTAGGTGGCAGTTTAAGTAAGCAAGGGAACATACATACAAGACTTGTCTTGCACAATGAGTAGCTCTCTGCACCTGCTTGCTGGAATCTTAGGAGTTTATATGGAGGCCTTCCCTATGTTCAGTCACATATACCATCCATAATGGTCTCAGCAATACATAACTGTCCTACTTTTGTGTCCTTAAGGTAGCATCTAGTGTGGGAGAGGTAAGTGGAATGCACAGTCCAAGGACAGGGGAAAGCATAAGGAGCCTACAATTGCCTGGGTCCAGTGCTCAGGTCAACCTGGGATCATGCCCTCTTGACAACCTCTTCAAAGAACAAATTAGCATTTTCTTTCCCTTTACTTTCTCAACCTGAAATCATTCTCCACCTAATTGGTCAGATCCATCACCTGAAATTGATTTTTTCAATATCAGCAGTGGCTTCCATGTTACAGATTAAATAGGCCTCTTTCTGGTCTCATCTAACTCTATCTCCTAGGAATATCAAATGCAATTCTGTATTCTTGATAACTTGAAACATTTGCACTATTTTACTTCAGAAGCACTTTACATTTTATGATTTTCATCACTCCTGTTTAATAGGAAGACACACAAATAGCCAACAGATATGAAAAAATGCTCTGCATCACTAATCATTAGAGAGACCCAAATCAAAACCACAGTGAGATTTCACTTCTTATCTTGTTAGGGTAAGAATTATAAGATCAACCAAAGAGTTGTAGGTGAGGTTGTAGAAAAATTAGAACCCATGTCTGGAAATGTCAGTGGAAATGAAAAATTTTACAGAAACTATGGAAACCAATATGGAGGTTCCTCAAGAAATAAAAAATAGAATTACTTTATGATCTAAAATTCCACTTCTGGATGTTTAGCCAAAAGAATTGAAAAATAAGATCTCAATGACATATATGTATTCTTATGTTCATTGCAGCATTATTCACAATATCCAAGGTATTGAAGTAACCTAAAGGTCCACATATAGATGAATAGGTAAAGAAATATATACATACAATGGAATATTATTCAGATATAAAAGGAAACTGTCATATGCTGCATCATGGATAACTCTTAAGGATATTATGCTTAGTGAAATAAATCAGTCACACAAGAATAAATATTTCTATGATTCCATTTAAATGAGGTATTTTAATATAGTTAAACCTATAGAAGTTGAAAGTGTAATGGTAGTTATCTTTATTATAATAATATATATAATTATATATAAAACTATTCATTGCCAATAAAGAAATTTTTAAAAATCCAATTAAATGAAGGGACATACAGTATTCATGGATGAAGAGATACCAGTTTTCCCCAAAGTGATACACAGGTGTGTTGCAATTCCTATAAAGATTTCAGCAAGACTTGTGTTGATATACACAAAATTATTCTAAAATTTACTTGAAATATCAAAGGAATAAGAATAGCTAAAACAATTGAAAGTACATAATGAAATGAGGAAGGAGTCTGCAATTTCAAGACTTACATAGCTACAATATCAAGACTGTGGTATTGGTAGAGGATAGGTACTTCGATCAATGGAACAGAATAGAGAACCTAGAAATAGGCCCTCTCATATATATCCAAACAGTTTTAGACACAGAAACAAAAAAAAATCAATAAAGGAAATGTACCCTTTCAAAAAAGTTTGCTGGAAGAGTTGGACATGGATAGGCAAACAAATCAAAAAATACTATTGACCTAAATCAAGATTGGACATTGATTGTACCTACACACTAACTCAAAAGAATGGATCATGAACTTAAATGTAAAAACTGAAGCTCTAAAACATTTTAAAAAGCAATGGGATAAATCTTTAATATCCAGGGATAAGCAGAGTTCTTAGACTTGACATCAAAGCACAATGCAAAAAAAAAAAGTGAAAAATTAAACCATATTAAAATTTTTAACAAACATTTTGTTCTGTGAAAGACCTTATTAAGAGGATGAAAAGACAAGCTACAGAACGGGAAAAATGTTTTTAAGACTTATCCAACACACACACACACACGCACAGTTACACACAAACACACACACATTCATGGTAAAAAAAAAATCCAGTTAGAAAATAAACAAAAAAATATACATAGACATTTCATTGAAAAGGACATACAAATGGCAAACAGACACATAGAAAAACTGAATTTTATTTCACTCATATGTGGAATTTATGAAACAAAAGAGATAAACATAAGAGAAGGGAAGGAAAAATAAGATAAAAAGTGAGAGGGAGGCAAACCATAAGAGACCCTTAACTATAGGAAACAAAGGGGGGTTTGCTGGAAGTGAGATGGGTGGGAGGATGGGGTAATTGGATAGGATGCTAGGCATTAAGGAGGGCACCTGATGTAATAATGAGCAATGCATGTTATATGCAACTGATGTATCACTAAATTCTACCCCTGAAATTAATAATACACTGTATGTTAACTAATTTTAATTTTAATTAAACATTTTAAATGGTCATCATCGTTAGCCATATACAAATAAAATTTAAATTGAGATAGAATGTCACTATATAACCATGACACAGGATAAAATTAAACATACTAACTACATGAAATTCTGTTAAGAGAATGAAAAAACTGAATCACTAATATATTACTGGTAGGAATATAAAACAGGGCAGCCATTATGAAAATATTTTGGCAGTTACTTAAAAAGATAATACTGGAATAATTATTTAACTAATAATTTAGCTATACTCTAATAATTTAGCAGTTATACTCTTGAGCATTTATAGAAAATACTTGTATTCACACAAAAACCAATAAACTGTGAGTGACTTGAGTGACAATGGCAAAATAGCAATATTAAAAAGTTTGTCCAATAAAAGAAATGGATAAGCTAGATATGTAGCCATAAGAAGAAGATGAGATCTTGCCATTTGAGGCAATATGGATGGATCTAGAGGGTATTACGATAAGTGAAATAAGTTAGACTGAGAAAGACAAATACATATGATTTCACCTATATCACCTATATGTGAAATTCTAAAAAACAAATGGGAATAAAAGGTACAACATAGGGAATGTAGTCAATGTTATTATAATAAATAGTGTTGTATGATGACAGAGGGTAGCTACAATTGTGGTAAGTATAGCATAATGTAATAGAAATATTGAATCACTATATTGTACATCTGAAACTTATACAACATTGTGTGTCAACTATTCGAATTAAAGAAAGAAAAAGCAATAAAAAACAACACACTTGCACATATATATGTAGAAGCATATAGCCCACATATGTAACTCATTAAAACTCAGATAAATTCTCTTTCAACTAACATCTTTTTTTCATTAAGATCTGGGGTACTTGGGTGGGTCAGTGGTTGAGCACCTTTATTTTGATCTCAGTTCATCTCAGGTTTGTGAGATCAAGCCCCATGTTGGGTTCTACCCTGGGTGTGAAGTCTAACAAACAAACAAAAAACAAACACCCACACACACACAAGATCTAAGTGTATTTAAACTTACATTTAAAAGCATATTCCTAGGTATCTTATGCTTTTGGATGCAATTGTAAATGGGATTGACTCCTTAATTTCTCTTTCTTCAGTCTCATTTTAGTGTGTAGAAATGCCACTGATTTCTGGGCATTGATTTTGTATCCTGCCATGCTGCCAAATCGCTGTATGAGTTCTAGCAATCTTGGGGTGGAGGCTTTTGGGTTTTCTATGTAGAGTATCATGTCATCGGCGAAGAGGGAGAGTTTGACTTCTTCTTTGCCAATTTGAATGCCTTTAATGTCTTTTTGTTGTCCGATTGCTGAGGCTAGGACTTCCAGTACTATGTTGAATAGCAGTGGTGAGAGTGGACATCCCTGTCTTGTTTCTGATCTTAGGGGGAAGGCTCCCAGTGCTTCCCCATTGAGAAT